AAAAGAAAGACTATTATTATAATAAAGTAGGCACTCTACCTGCTAAGCTAATACTATACAACTTTTCCTACTGTACTAAAAGGTACGCATAAGAATACTTAAGCTAAGTATTCTTACATAGTATAATATATATATAGGTAATGCTAGGGTAAGCACTAGCACTAGCAGTTATCTCTAGCCTAGCCTAAACCTTTATAAGCAAGAGAAGGCTACATAGTTAACTATGCTAACCTAGTTATAATTATAAGAGTAGAAACATGTTAAAAGCTAGAGCTAAAACATGTTCTTTTAATTATAGCTAATAATTAACTAATTTCTAGATAACTAATTTTAAATTTATATAAACTTTTAGTTTTTAAAAAATAAATTTTACTAACTTAATTAAAGCTAAAAATTAGCTAGCTATTATAATAAGTAATTTAGTTATGTATAAGGTTTTTAGCTTAGCGCCTATATACTTTTTTAAAAATGTAAAATAACCTATATTATATAGCTATAAAAAGTGTAATAAGTAAAAAAAATATAAAAAGTAATAATTTTACTATCTTTATAGTATTACTAAAAATAAAGTAAGTTATTAGTAACACTTACTATACTTAATATATTTAAGTTTATAAAATATAAAGTTAAGTAAAATCTTTTTTTTAAAACACACTAGTTAGTTATAATTTTTTTAAATAAACTTTAGTAACACTATTTATTATTACTTTATATATTTCTTATATTCTTTTTTAAAATAATGTATAGTTAATATATATACATTTTTATATTAATTTACATGTAGTTTACTCTAGTATATGTTATATAAAATATATTTAAATTATAGTTAGTTATGTTTATTCTACTTTTTAAGCTATATTAGTGTGTTAGGAAATAGCATTAGCTATATTAGTGTGTTAAGGATTAGCATTAGCTATATTAGTGTGTTAGAGATTAGCATTAGCTATATTAGTGTGTTAGAGATTAGTATTAGCTATGCTTAGTTACAGGCTGTAATTAGTTACATGCTATAGTTAAATATTGTTATTATGTGTCTATTACCTGTCTAATACTAATTTGCTAAGCATTATGCTATAACTATTCTATAACCTAAATAACCTACCTTATTGTACTAACTATTGCTCTAAGCAAGCTTTGCTTTTACAGATTATTTATAAACTGTCGTAGTATTTTATTATAAAGATAAAGTTTCTACTATGCTTTAAAGTAGCTTATAATGCTATAATTACTTTTAGTAATATTTAAGAAAGTTTTAAAGCGCTAGATTAGTTTTTTTTAACCTATAATAATTTATAATAGGCCTTAATGTAAAGTTACGAACTCTATTACTACTACTACTTATATATAACAAGCCCTAGTAGTTATAAACCCTAAGCAATACTCTAAAACTTAGGTTATAATTAATGCTTATAAAAATAAAAATTTAGAAGCATATAAATAGTTTACTAACTTTTATAGTTAAGGTGTTTAAAAAAGTTTTAAAAAGGGTAGTAATAATTACACATAAGCTAGTGTTAGTGTAATAAAAAATTACTAAGCTTTAAGCAGCTAATAAAGCTGCTATATAACATAAATTACATAAAAGAAAGTAAATTAAGGCAGAGAAGACCTTAATAATTTAAAAAAGCCTACACTTAATAGCTCTAAAGAAGTTTAGAGCGCATAGTAATAGAAAAAAGGCAAAGAAGCAGGTGTAAGCTAAAGTAGGTAAGCTATTCTAAAGGCGCTGCAGACAGTGTAATTAGACTAGGCATAATACACAAATGTGTAAGCAAGAAGCAGAAGTAGTATCTAAATAATATTCTAAGTTGTACTGTACTATATAGTGCTAGAGCAGGTTGTTATAGGCTATAATAGAGTTTGTTAGGGTGGGGTCTTAGCAAAAGTAAGCGACTCAGGTGTGTGAGCAACTTGCCTGTAAAGTACGTTATAATACTATTTAACATATATATTTACTTTACTAAAGTTATTCTACTTATTAATATTACTAAGTTTATTTATATTATATTATAATTTTAGTTTAAGTAAAAAAATTAATGTTAAAAAGATATATATTTTTATAATTGCTATTTCTATTCTTATAGTAAAAAGCAACTTTATTATAATTATACTTTACCTAGTAGTTCTAAAGGAAAATAAAAACAAATAATAAATCTAGAAGATAAAGAAGAGTTAGAAGAGTTAGAAAATAAAAGTACTACTAGTAGTTATATATAGTAAAACTATAAATAAAATTTATTTTATTTATTTTATTTATTTTATTTATTTTATTTATTTTATTTATTTTATTTATTTTATTTATTTTATTTATTTTATTTATTTTATTTATT